TGTGGGTTATCTGGTAGGTGTGTCTGGCTTCCTTTCCAGTTGGTTGCCAGGCCCTGCCTTGTGCCATGGCTGCCGGCCACTGGTGGACGGGACCAGGTCCTGAGTTCACTGGTTGCAGGACCCCAGGGGGTCCCAGGGCCAGTTCTGGCCCAGTAGTGGGCAGAACCAGGTTCTGGGGTGGGTGGTTGCAGAGCTGGGGTTTCTGGAGGTACTGTCTGCTGGTGGAGGGGGCTGGTTCCTGACATAGCTGGCTGCCTTAATGATTTGGAAACATTTTTATAATATATTTTTAATTAAAAAAAGCAGGGTGTGTTCTTTTTTTCATGCTATATATGTGTGTGTGTGTGTGTGTGTGTGCACTATGTGTATGTGTATTTCAGTTATAGTTGATTTACAGTGTTGTGTTAGTTTCAGGTGTACAGCAAAGTGATTCAGTTATACACATATTGATTCTTCCTTAGATTCTTTTCTCATATAGGCTGTCAAAGAATATTGAGTAGAGTTCCCTGTGCTATATAGTATGTCCTTGTTGGTGATCCATGTTATATATTGTAATGTGCATATGTTCATCTTTAGCTTCTGATTTATCCCTCCCAACCATGTTTCCCTTTTTGTAACCATAAGTTTGTTTTTTATATCTGCAAGTCTGTTTCTGTTTTGTAAATAAGTGCATTTGTATCATTTTTAATTAAATCCTACATATGAGAGATCATATATTTGTCTTTTTCTATCTGACATACTTCACTTAGTATGTAATCTCTAGGTTCATCCATGTTGCTGCAGATGGCATTACTTCATTATTTTAGGGGGCTGAGTAATATTCCATTGTATAATGTACCACATCTTCTTTATGCCTTCCTCTGTGGATGGACATTTAGGTTGGTTCCATGTCTTGACTATTGTCAAGTGCTGCAATTAACACTGTGATGCATATGTCTTTTGGGATTATGGTTTTCTCTGGATATATGCCTAGGAGTGGAATTCCTAGATCATATGGTAGCTCTATTTTTAGTTTTTCAAGGAACCTCCATGCTGTTCTCCATAGTGGCTATATCAATTTACATTTCCACCAACAGTGGAGGAGAATTCATTTTTATCCACATCCTTTTCAGCATTGTTTGTGGACTTTTTGGTGGTGGCCATTGTAACTGGTATAAGGGGATACTTCATTGTAGTTTTGATTTGCATTTCTCTGATAATTGGTAATGTTGAGCATCATTTCATGTGTACATGTGTCCTTTGCAGAAATGTCTATTTAGATCTTATGTTCATTTTTTGATTGGATTGTTTATTTGCCTTTTGACACAGAGCTGCAAAAGCTGTTTGTATGTCTGGGAGAATAATCCCTTATTGGTCACTTCACTTGCAAATAAATGTTTTTTCCCATTCTGTGGGATGTGTTTTCATTTTGCTTATGGTTTCCTTTGCTATACAAGAGCTTTTAAGTTTAATTAGGTTCCATTTATTTTTGTTTTTATTTTCATTACTCTAGGAGGTGGATCAAAAAAGATTTTGCTGTGATTTATGTCAAAGAGCATTCTCCCTATGCTTTCTTCTAAGAGTTTTATAGTGTCCAGTCTTACCTTTTGGTCTTTGATCCATTTTGAGTTTATTTTTGTGTACAGTATTAGAGAATGTTCTAATTTCCTTCTTTAACCTGCAGCTGTTCAGTTTTCCTAGTACTATTTATTGAAGAGACTGTCTTTTCTCTATTGTATATTCTTGCCTCCTTTGTTGTAGATTAATTGACCATAGGTTTGTGGGTTTATCTCTGGACTTTCTATAGTTTTACAGTTCAGTTCAGTCACTCAGTCGTGTCTGACTCTTTGTGACCCCATGGACTGCAGAGCAAAGCATGCCAGGTCTCCCTGTCCATCACCAACTCCCAGAGCTTGCTCAAACTCACGTCCATCAATTCAGTGATGCCATCCAGGTGTCTCATCCTCTGTCGTCCCCTTCTCCTCCCACCTTCAATCTTTCCCAGCATCAGGGTCTTTTCAAATGTGTCAGTTCTTTGCATCAGGTGGCCAAAGTATTGGAGCTTCAGCTTCAGCATCAGTCCTTCCAATGAATATTCAGGACTGATTTCCTATAGGATGGACAGGTTGGATCTCCTTGCAGTCCAAGGGACTCTCAAGAGTCTTCTCCAACACCACAGTTCAAAACCATCAATACTTCAGTGCTGAGCTTTCTTTATAGTCCAACTCTCACATCCATACATGACTACTGGAAAAACCATAGCTTTGACTGGATGGACTTTAGTTGGCAAAGTAATGTCTTTGCTTTTTTAATATGCTGTCTAGACTGGTCATAGCTTTTCTTCCAAGGAGCAGGTGTCTTTTAGTTTCATGACTACAGTCATCATCCACAGTGATTTTGGAGCCCAGGAAAATAAAGTCTGTCACTATTTCTATTGTTTCTCCATCTGTTTGCCATGAAGTGGGACCAGATGCCATGATCTTAGTTTTTTGAATGTTGAGTTTCAAACCAGCTTTTTCACTCCTTTTTCACTTTCATCAAGAGGCTCTTCAGTTTCTCTTCGATTTCTGCCATAAGGGTGGTATCATCTGCATATCTGAGGTT